AGAGGGGATTGTGACCTGGAGCAGCGGACTGAAGTGCAGGAGAGGGTGCAGGGTCCAGAAGGGGCTCCCGCTGGGCCACGGGCCAAATGTGACAGCCTGACAGGCTGAATCCAGCCTGCAAACCATAGTCTGCCCACCCCTTCTGTAGCTCTTGCACACTGGGAAGTACAGAGGTTGATCACACATACTTCTAAGGGAACATGATCCTGGGAAGCAGAGAAGAGATGGCAAGGCACAGCACATGGAAAGGCAGATGCATCAGGGACCACAATCTGTCCTATATAAAGGATGAAACAATTTACTTACTTCATCACCTGCATGCAAGGAGCATCTATAGAAAGATTGTGCTCCACCTTCTGTGATGGCACAGCTTCACGCTGTCCCCTACTCAAGGCAGTGTCTTCAAATCCACAGTCTCTCCCTACATTTCTGTAATTTTCCATCAATCTTCAATACTTTATTTGTGAAATTGTGTTTGTTTTGATAACTGAGTTTCATCTGAAATCTGAATAAAAGCTTAAGATCCTAATTCACTCTACTGAATCTGGTAAAACAAGAATATATTAAATGAGATTTCCACAACTATTACAAAATTCTCCAGTAAGATAATCTGCCCACTCATCTCTCTGTTTCCTATGGATCTGCAGTAGAACCTATATGAACCTTCCTATGCCTAACCCTTGATTTTGTGTCTTATCTCCCAAATCTTCTGTCCCAATCCCAATTTTTTTTAACAGTTGAATTTTATGCATAAAAACGTTCAATAACAATTAAACATGAAATCTTGTTTTTACTCTGAAGTAATGCTGCTGACAAAACACTTATCTCCTCTCCTCCTCTTCTGAATCCCAAAAATTCTTCCAGTATTTCTGGGGACAGAAAATACCTAAAGTTAATTACTCTTTTAGAAAAAGCTCCATCCATAAATTTTAGCCTATATATTCTTACTAATTATAAAGAGAATCAATGCATTTCTGTTCTTTCCTGATGGCAGAGTAATATGAATAGGTTTGACGGAAAGGATAATCTTTCTGATCATGTCACCAGAGAACACACACAATTAATAATGAAAAGACATGTTCCCAGAGGCTAAATCAGAAGTCTGTACTGAGACAAAATTCCTACAGAAGTCAATGGCAGTTTTTAAAAGTGACCACAGTAAGCCAAGCTTCACTCTGTGCTGTAGCAGAGCCTGTAAGGAATATTACTACATATCAATTTTGTGTGCTGTAAATTCACACTTTGGCTTGCAAAGCTGTAATTTGCCTTACAGAAAAAGCTCTAAGTACTTTGAAATTGATCTTTAGTTTTCATAAAACTTTCATAGTTTATGATGATGAACTTTGTTCTGAAAAACTGTAACAGTAACTTTCATAATTGCAAGTAATAGGACATCCGTAATAGAAGGAGGAGACAATGTGGCATGCTGTATCTGTTCTTGTTTGGCTTAATTGCTTGATGAAATTGCTGTTACTCAGCTTGCAGGAGTAAGGCACATCCTTATTAAAAGGCTATTTCCAATTTAGGATGTTTTGGAGTTTATTTCTTTCTGAGCAGTGATGACTGAAATTAGTTTTGTTGGAATATGAACATTTTCCTATTGTTGATTGACTAAACACTAATATGGCTAATGGAAAAGAAATCACACAGCTCAGAATGTGAAGTCACCATTGTTTCTGTCACCAGAAGAGTCTGGACCAAGAGGTGCAACTCTGAATCTATCCAGATTTTGTGCAGATATAGGGAACCCTATAAGGGTCTGACACTTCTTTGGTACTCATATAGTAGGGAATCATTCCACCCATAGTGGAATGTAACACAAAGAAGTGGTATATACAGTTGGGTTTACTTTGCCAACAATTCCTACCATTGCTACCACTAGTCCAACTCGCCAACAGTAACAACAGGGGGCAACGGAGGAGACCAGCCTTCAGTGATGATAGCTTCAAGCCTAATCTTCTAAGAGCAGATCTACACTACCGGATGCCTAAAACACTGACATCCTGTCTATATTAGAATTCATTGCTATTTTGGAGAAATAAGTCTGGAATAGGCAAGACCATGCTGGTCAGTCAGTCCCTGCTCAATAATACTTGGGTCTGACATACTTCCTCAATGTCTTACTGACAGCATACTCATAGAAAAGAAGAGTAAGAAAGGGGACCAGAGGTAGAGCCATGAAGTTCACTAAAGGGTTGGATATGAACAATCAGCATCTCTGACTGAGTTTTGCTCTGGTTCAACTCAAACTGACACCAGTTTGAAAAAAGTTTGAAAAAAGCCTTTTGTTGCATCTCCTTATGAACAGTGCACTTAAAAACAAAGTACCAACAATGTAGTACAGACAACAGTTCCCAAGCTTCCCTATAACATACTATCCTTGATCTCCTCAAGTCTCCATTCTGAGAGGCACTTAGATAAGAAAGATATAACTAAACCCACAGATAGGTGAAATAACTCTGTGTAACAATATACACAAAGGGCCAAATTCAGCCAGCTCATAAGTAGG